TGCTGCTGCTGCTGCTGCTGCTGCTGTTCGGGTCTTCCTGCGAGTGCGCCACTGCAGCAAACACTGCCCCGAATATGGCACTTTGAATTAGCCGCGTCAAATATATGCACTCATCTTCAACAGGGCCCCCGGGGGCCCCCGGGGCCCCGGGGCCCCCTGGGGCCCCGGGGGCCCCCAGGGGCCCCCCATCTGCCTTGTCGGGGGGCGGCAGCCTGAGCAGTGAGGAGCTGTAGATGGCTGTGCCAGCTAGAGACGCTGGGCTGTTTTGCTGCAGCAGCAACAGCAGCAGCAGCAGCAGAAACGGTGCCGCAAGGACAGTAGCAAATGGTAGCAGCAGCAGGCGCAGCTCAACCCCGCCACCACTTCAAGTCGGTGGCCCAGTCCAGGCTTTAGAGCCCGCGGTTTAGGGTTTAGGGTTTAGGGTTTAGGGTTTGCTTACCAAAGCCTCTGCAGAAATAGAAGCGCTACAAAAACACTGTCGGAGAGCCAGGCGGCGCGCGCATGCGCTGTTGAGGGTGAGGTCTAGCCAGTTGGTTGCCTGTCTCATTTTGTTGCTGCTGTTGCTGCTGCTGCTGCTGCTGCTACTGCTGCTGCTGCTGCTTGAGGCGCTATGGATATTGGTGGTGCTGCAGGAAGCTGCAGCGAGTTTTTGCTGCTGCTGCTGCGTCCCGCATGGCGCCACCGCTGTTGCTGCTGCGTATTGCTGCTGCCTGCGCTGCTGCTGCTGGGGAAGGTGCTGGGAATGCTGAAGCAGCAGCTGCTGCTGCTGCTGCTGCAGGTGCTGCTCCAGCTCCTGCTGCCTCTGCATGTGTTGCTGCTGCTGCCTGGAGGCTGCAGAGGGCCCGTTCGAGAGCAAACAAACGCCAGCGTTTGGGGTCGAAAACGGAGCCATTTGCTGCTGCTGCTGCTGCTGCTGCTGATTGTGAGCTTGTGTAGCTTCTGCAGCAACAGACTGGCGAGATTTAGAAGCTGCTCCTTGGCGGCTCAGGTGAAGTGAGGGTGCTGAAAGTTTGTGCTGCCGCTGCTTCAGCTGCTGCCGTTGTTGCTGCAGCTGTTGCTGCTGCAGTTGCTGTTGCTGCTGCTGCTGCTGTAGCTGATGCTGCTGCTGCAGCTGCCGTTGCTGCTGTAGCTGACGCTGCTGCTGCTGCTGCTGCAGCTGCTGCTGCTGCTGTTGTATGGAATGCTCTGGGGTGTAATAGAAGTGCTGCTGCTGCTGCTGCGTGCACGAATATACCTTGTGTTGTACCTCTGAAAGGGGGGAAGACTGAAGAGTGTTTTGCTGCTGCTGCTGCTGCTGCTGCTGCAGCTGGTGCTGCCGCTGTTGCAATGGCTGCTGCCGCGCGTAAGTAAGCTGCTGCGATGTTGCTTTCTGTAATCGTTGGTCCTGCAGCAACAGCAACAGCTTCTGTTGCTGCTGCTGTTTTTGCTGCTGTTGCTGCTGCTGCTGCTGCTGTCGCTGCGCTGCTCCTTCAAAAAGCCCACTGCCGTAGGAGTACCTGCTAGGAACCACCTTAGTAAATATAATGTTGTTGTTGCTGCTGCTGCTGCTGCTAGCAAAAGAGCACGCTGGGTTGTAAGAGAGCCGTTGCGGAGCTGCAGTGCGGCTGTCTTCAAGAATGAATTTGAGGGACTGCCTGGTGTTGAAGCGATCGCTGGCGCTGCTGCTGCTGCTGCTGCTGTGCTGCTGCTGCTGCTGCTGCTCCTGCAGCTGCTTCGCAATCTCCAGAGAAACGGAGGAGGAAGAGATCGCTAGGGGGGGCCCTTGGCGCAGGTACATCCTGCTGGCTTTGGAGCCCGGCAGCGGGGCTGCCGCAGCAGCTGCAGCAGTTGCTGCAGATGCAGCTGCTGCTGCTGCTGCTGCTGCTGCTGCCCCGCAGTCGCCTCTACAGCACAGGCCGTCGGGCTGCGGGGAACTGCACGACGCAGCCGCGGCGCCTGTGCTGCGGTCAGTCCGCGAAACTGGGTTTTGCTGCTGCTGCTGCTGCTGCTGCTGTTGCGTCGACAGGCGCTTCTAAGCGTGCAGCTCACGGGAAAAACAGCGCACCGTCTAGAGCTGCCAATGTTGCTGCTGCTGCTGCTGCTGCTGCTGCTAATGCTCGTCAGAGTGTGTGGGGATAAAGAGGTGGAGATGGGGAAATCGTGCTGATGAGAAACTGCTGCTGCTGCTGCTGCTGCTGCTGCTGCCGCTGTTGCTGCTGTGGCTTTTTCTGCTGCTGCTACGGCTGCGTCGGTAGCAAGCACTGAGGCAGCAGGGGGAAGACGATGGAGGAAAGGGAGGTGAAGATGTCACTGAGAAAGAGCAGCAACACAAGAGCACAGCAGCAGCAGCAAATGCACAGAAGCAGCAGCAGCAGCAGCAGCAAACGCGCTGCAGCAGCCGCAGCAGCAGCGCAAGGGCGCAGCAGCACCGCTGCAGCAAGCTTAAAACAGCGCAGCAGCTGCACACAAAAGCCTCTCCGCCCCACACGTGAATCCGTGCGCCTCCAATAACACATGCAGCCTCCAAACCCTAAACCCTAAACCCTAAACCCTCGACCCGCACCCAAGACAAAGGAAAACGCATGAGCCTCCGTGCCGCCCCCCCAGGCGCTGCGGCTTCCCAAATCCATTTCTTCTTTTAACTCTTTAGAAGAAGAAAAAATAAAAAAAGAAAAAGAAAAATGTTTTAAAAAGCCTTCTTGCTGCTCAGTGGTCGTCTGCGGCCACGAGGTATACGTACACCCGAGCTGTCCATACACCCCAAAACCCCACTACAGCCTCAACCATTTGCTGCTCTTCCCAGAAGCAGCAGCAAGCCTGGGGTTTCAGAAGCAAAACCTTTCACCGCTGCTGCTGCTGCTGCTGCTGCTGCTGCTGCTGCTGCTGTGGAGCGCACTATGCATTCTTCAATAATGATGTTCCGGGGGACACACGGAATATGCAAAGTTATATTTTTGGAAACCAATTAATTTTAAATTTGGATCGGTTTCTCTGTTGGTCTCTGCAGTGTACGTACACCTCGGCCCACCAACCAGTGGTGCTGCGGCTCCGCAGCAGCAGCAGCAGCAGCAGCAGCAGCAACGGCGAAGCCTTAGGGCCTCGCCTTGTTAAATTTGAAGAGAAAAACAAAAACAAATATTAGAATAAACAAAAAATCATTGAAATTAACTTCTGCTGCACACAGAAGGCCGGCGCTGCCACGCGCGGCGTGCCAGCAGCAACCGCAGCTGTACGTACACCCCCGAAGGAACTGCTGCTGCCGCCAAGACCCGAAAACCCAACAGAAATGAAAAAAGAAAATAAGTGAGGGAGTTTTTAGAGGGCTAATGGGCCCCTGCTCCTGGGGGCGCTGCTGCGCGGTGTACGTACACCCTAGCATGTGTTGCTGTGTGTTCGGTTCTGCTGCTTCAAACCCGCAGCAGCAGGGCCGCCCCAGCAGCAAACCAAAAACCTCACCTGAAGTAATTATGGGGGCTTTTACCTTGGGCGGAGAAGGGCGTGGAAAGCAGTTTGAGGTGTACGTACACCTCAAAAGCGCCAGGGGACTGAACCGGCAAGCCGTGCGGCTCCTGCTGCCGCTTCGCAATACCAGGGGGGTTCTGCGGCCAAATTGCTCAAATTAAAATGCCAAAAAGCCCCCAAATGGTGAAAAAGGAGAAAATAAAACACAGAGAAAGCAGCAAATCCACAGAGGCCTCGCCAGCAGCGCCCCTAGCAGGCAGCGGCGGCAGTCGACTGCTGCGCGCTGCTGCAGCAGCAGTCCTCCAGGCGAATAAACTTCTTTTTCTTTACCTTTTCACTGTTTTTTTATTCAAAATAAATTTAATGACACTCTTAAGCTTCAAATTCTGTGCTTTTTCTCCGAGAAGTCGCTGCAGCCACCGCCAGCCTGTGGGCCGTCGATACAGCTCAGGGGAACCAGCGGCTACCGACACTGGGCGTTCTTCCGCCGCAAAAAGATAAATTTACTGTTGTTTTTCTTGAAATTTCATTTTCAAAATATTAATTTGTATTCAAAAAAACATTTAAACCCCATTTTCCCCAACTTCCTCGCCACACACCGCCGCGCCCACACCCTCCGGCCCACCGCCGGTCCGGCCAGCCGCTGCCTACTGCATTTTTGCGTTTTTCTTCTCCATTTTAAAGTCTTTTAACCCGAAAAAAAAGCATTTAAAGTCCCCAGGCACTCAGTGGTCAGTTTGCCAATATCAGAAGTCCCGTTAGGAGAAGAAGGAGCCATTAAAGCTGCCTTTTCGCTGCTGCTGCTCGCCCGCAGCCCTCAAAGGGCCCCTGGGGGCCCCCACTGCCTCTGCTGCCTTTAACTGTAAAGCCCAAAGAGTCTTTAAAGCTCCAAATCCAGCCCCAAAGGGCCACCAGGGCTCCCGGGGCCCCTGGGGCCCCTGGAGCCCCCGGGGCCCCCAGGGCCGCCGGGGCCCCCAGGGCCCCCCAGATCTTCAGGGCCCCTGGGGCCCCCCAGGGCCACCAAGGGCCTCAGGATCCCCAGAAACTCCGGGACTTCCGGGGAGCCCAGGAACCCCATGGCCCCCTGGGCCCTAAGAGCCCCAGGGGCCCCAAGGGGACCCAGGGGCCCCCAAGGGCCCCCCGGGGCCCCCAGGGGCCCCCAGGGGACGCCAGGGGCCCCAGGAAGCAAAATGGAAAGCCTTTTAATGCATAAACGCACTGGGAGAAAAACTGAAAAGAAAGGAGTTGAGAAGAAGCTGCAGAGCTGGAGCTTCGAGTGGGAAAAGAAAAACGGAAAAAAACGAAGCGGAAAAAGAAATAAATGATAAATAATGAACTGATTAACGGCCCTGCAGGCTGCTGCTGCTGCTGCTGCTGCCGTCGCTGCTGGCGTTGCTGCTGCTGTTGCTGCTGCGGGTCAGTCGCACGAGAATTCTCTGGTGATCATTTGGCTGCTGCGACTATGGGGGAGGCAGCTAGCTAGCAGCTAGCCACCAGCTAGCTAACAGCTAGCCACCAGCTAGCTGGCAGCTAGCTAGCAGCTAGCTAGCAGCTGGCTAGCAGCTAGCTAGCGGCTAGCTTGCAGCCAGCCACCAGATACTTCACAGCTAGCGAGCAGCTAGCTCGCAGCTAGCCAGCAGCTAGCTAGCAGCTAGCTAACAGCTAGTTAGCTGCTAGCCAGCAGCTCGCCAGGAGCTGCCTAGCTGTCACTTAGATACCGAGCAGCAAGCCAGTGGCAAGCTAGCAGCTAGCTACCTGATAGCTCGCAGGTGGTTAACAGCTAGCTCACAGCTAGCCAATAGCTAGCTAACAGCTAACTGACAGCTAGCTGACAGCTAGCTAACAGCTAACTAACAGCTAACTAACAGCTAGCTAACAGCTAGCTACGAGCTAGCTAGTGCCTCGGCAGTGATCACTTGCTGCAGCTCCCTAAAGCGCCGCAACTAATGAGCAAAGCAGCCTTTCGAAAAGGGTCTAGGGTTTAGGGTTTTAGGGTTTAGGGATTATTCTTTAGGGTTATAAGCCTATCAGTTTCCTCAAACTTCATCCGGCAAGATAGCCGCGCCGCGTAGCTGCTTTCACTAACATTGCTGCCCACCTAAACCCTAAACCCTAAGTCCTAAACCCTAAATCCTAAACCCTTGCCACGCTCCAGTCCCTGTACCACGTGCAGGGCCCCTTAAATTGCCTTCAGAAGAAAACTGTCTACTCCGTCATTTTTCTTATCAAAAATATTTCAACGGAATGCCTGGGAGCTCCCCTATAACATGTGGGGCCCCCTGTGGGGCCCCCTGTGGGGCCCCCCGTGGGGCCCTCTGTGGGGCCCCACTGGGGGGCCCCTGTGGGGCCCCCCTGGGGGCTCCCCGGGGGGCCCCCTGGGCGCCCCCCTGTGGGGCACTCAAAAGGACCCTCGTGGTTGAGGGCCTCAGCGAAAAGTCCATTTTCCCTCAAGAGAGAAAAAAATAAATCATCAACTGCTCTGCTGCGGCTTTGATGCGCCACGAGCGCCAAAGGGCCCCTAAAT